GAAGCTTCTAGATGACTAGAATGAGAAACATTGCAATGGAAGCCTGTCATCTCTTCTGTAAGTGCTAGCACCCGCCAGGAGTTATGTTTGGATTTAACGCAATCGAATCGCACGAGAGCCAAGACCCCCTTTTCAGAGATAAGACCCATCCTGTTGTAAATGTTCGGGATTTAAGAAAATAAACAATTACAAATATTGTTTTAAATACTGTATATTATTTGTGACTGTTGTGAATGTTGCTTGAATCCATGTTTGTAAGTTTGGTGTTAAAGAACCAGCACCATAATCTTTCCAGTGCAGGGTTCATTTAATACACCCCTCTCAACATATTGTCTTATGTTATCTTAATATTTTATTTGAACAAAAATGTCAAAGCCGAAAAGGCAAAGTATTTTTAAAGAAGGAATGAAACAATGCAATTATATTTTAGGATTAAGATTGGTGTCAATCTGAAATTTCTATAAAAGAATGATAAGGAGTGTATCGCTCACTTAATGAGCACTTGTTTCCCTTAACTTTGTTAAAGTCTCCCTTAAATATTTTTCTGAATTCACCCATTAGAATTACCGAGAGCAATACTTAACATTAATATCGAATAGGAACAATTTTTTTCTAATAATCGCAAACAAATCTTCGCCAAAGAATTGTTAAAACTCTCCCCCCCCCCTTCGTCTGCAATACATTCCTCACTCGTCTGTCATTTACGAGGGGGTGAGACCAGAAAACTCTTGTAGCCGAGTCTTTTTTACCTTGGAGTTTCCTTTCTCCTTAAGAGCAAATGCGTCCAGTCATCCGCGAACACTAGCCACCTGTCGCCTTGATAGGTGGTCGCCGGCCGCCTACCGCGCGCCATTCTTCATCAACCTTTTCGTTTAGTAAATTAAATATACTCGTTAATTCTACAAAAAATGATTAACCCTACATTAATTACATGAATGTAGTTAAAATTCCACAACTACCAATCAGAACTCAGGAAAATGGGGGAAAAATCGTTTAATTGAGGCAGTATGGACCCCAAAAAATGCACATCACAGATTACGTAAAACATAAATATAAAACATTTCAAACACTTACCTAACAATTCCACGACTTAGAGATATTAATTTTTAAAGTACAATTACTTAAATTGCCGAATGTTATCCCTCTTGGCTGTGATGTGAAATATACGTATTGTCTTTCGCATGCAACTTCTTCTTCAGTATGAATAAGGACGTTCACAAGCACGTTGGTTTGACATTAACCGGCAATCGAACTACAAAATATTTAACTTGAATAAATGAAATATGTAACGAAATAAATGAAAAATATATTTGGTACAAACCATTACAAGTGGGAAAAAATGGCAAGAGTGGCAAGAGAAACGTTAGTTGTATTTACACGTTCTGCAAAGTACGCAAGAAAAATATCTTCGGAATCACATGTGACTACTAAATTTGTGAATTTAAAAAATTCAACGGGAATTCCACGAAAATGATACTCGCGCCATTCTTGTAACCGTCTTTGGTAAAAATTTGAAGAAACAGGTTTGACTTGTTTTTGAGATTTTTTTATAAATGGCATTAATTTCAACCCCAAATAATGTGAACATTACTGCTGTACATGACCTTTTTTAAAGAGCTAAAAAGTCTAACTTCCAGTTTGTAGTTTCAAAATATTAATATTTTGAAATTTACGAAAATACAGAGAGTGTGCCGAAAATGGAACCAGCACCATACTTTTTACCAACCCTTGACATATACGAGAGGAAAATTTAAACAAAAAAAGGAGCGTTTTTTGAAAAATAGATTTATTAAAAATACAAATTTCCAATATTTCGCGCAAAATTAGATGGAAACCACTTTTATTTTCGAAAAACTGAATATGATCTTTCAAGATCCATCAATAAAGAACATACTTCATTTAGGAAAAAATCTCGATATTCCAGACGCCTCAATAAAAATTGTACTTTTGTAATTTTCGAAAAATCTGGAATTTTAACGAACACGAGACCTGCACCATCCCCTTAAGTGCCCTTTATGCCATCCGAGAACAAATTTAGTGAAAAACAAATTCTTGCAATTTTTAAAACATTTTGAAAATGTTTTTGAGTATCATGTAGTCATGTTAAGTACCCTCAAAAATCAAAATATCCTGTTGAAAGTCCCAAAGCATTGAGTTAGTTTGGATCGACAGGGGAATATCAATTTTGGAGAAAATCGGCTGAAAGATTTAGGCGCGGACGACGGACGGACGGACGGACGGATGGACGGACGGACGGACGGACGGACGGACGGACGAACGAACGGACGGACGGACGGACGAACGGACGGACGGACGGACGGACGGACGGATGGACGGACGGATGGACAGACAGACGTTTTGTGTCAATTGTTTTTTTAGTATTAAAGATCCACAAAACATGGATTCCGGCTACGCCACGTGTTAGAGGAAGTAATTTACTATATATAGCAACAGAATTTATCCACTTTTTCGTTACTAGGCGTCTGCAATATAATTTTTTTTCTAACATTCTCCGTTTCGGCGCACGACAACAAAACTTTTTAATCCTACGAAGCAAGTGCAAAAAAGTAAAAAGGAAGAAAAATAACGATTGCGAAACCCTATGCTAGAATGAACGGTTCTCCCACCCCTGACCCCCACCCCGCCCTGCGAGGGGCAGACAGACGAGTGCGCTGTCCTTCGTAAAGGGAAAGGGCTCCCGGCGCGTACAGCGGGGCTGCGCATCCGGCTCAGGGCACTCCTCTTGGGAAGGCCCAGCCCAGTAAGTGGAAAACGGTCTGTCCTAATTTAGCACCACGCCTCATGGACGAAATGCGAAGTTTTTTCCCAGCGTTTTTTAACCAAGAATCACATTCAAGGAACGGATTATTCAAGGATCCATGACACAGGACTTGCAGTTTTCAGTAAACGTTTCTCTTTCTCACTTATTATCTCTTTCTTAGTACCTTTCCGGGAAATTGATTTTTTTTTCACATTGACTCAGTACTCCGTGTACCTTAGTATTCACAAATGTATTGCATTGCAGCTGCAATGGTTGGAAAACCACAGTCCACTCTCAACTTTGCTGGATCTACATAGTATCATTAACCATTCTTAAAAAAGTTTAACAGCCATAAATAGTGAAGATAAAAATATTTTTAATAATGCTAGTCAAATTCAAAAACAATTTAAAAGGAATAACGTAAATACTACATTTGGCAGGCTTTTGTAAAAGTGAAAAATATGACAAAATCCAATTTTAATTTGGTCAAAAAAACGAGGAAATTCTGTTACTTTGTACTTTTACTTGCTCTGATCGGTAGTTTTCCGTGGTTTCTCCGATCAACACCAGGCGAATGCCGGAGCAGTACCATAACAAACGGGCCACGGACCGCCCGCGATCGTTCCTTTCTCTTCCTTGTTTTATCCTCATCACTTATACACACTCTTACAATTACATGCACTACACTATCACACATGCCGAGAGACCGGTCGAGAGCTTAGAGCTTGTCCCGGCTGGGTCGGTGCCCCGCTGGTTGGTGAAACTTGGAGGGGGGAAACCCCCGCAAGCCGACGTGTAGGACGGCGCCGGATCTCACCTCCAATTAATGACTTTAGCAAATGACGCACTCGGAAATACTAATCAATCCAACAACCGGCTCAATGACCTGCTGTGATGACAGAGAAGTCTTCATTTAAAAAAAATTGTTTGTTGTTTTTTGTAAGGCTTCTCATGACAGCTTCTTTATACATAGTGTCCCGTTTATTTTGGAATTCACAAATACACACACAGTGCGGGGCCGAAGCGCTGAAGTAAGTGAAAGCACGCTGCCCGTGGATAACGGCGTTCAAAAAGGCTAGTGGCTGTGTGCGAGTGGTGGGGGGCGGGGGAGGGGGGCGTAACGGGGAGCGAAGGGGCACGAAATCGGCGGCATCCGGTGCAAGGGAAGGGCCACGGCAGGGGGCACTGCCGGCGGGGGGGGGGGGGGCGCTAAACATAGCCAGTGCTTCTCGGAGACCCACCGCCGCCGCCGCCGCCGCGCTCCCTTCGCGTTGCGTTTGCTGCGGCCACAGACTTCCCCTCTCTCACTCACTCTCATTACTCTGCTTGTACAAGATATTTCCTGACCAGTTTCATTCAGTACGGATTCAATATGAACGTTATAACTACGTCCAAAGCGCAAAGAGAATGGGTTTCAGACATTTGCTAATATTAGCAAATAACTGGTCAGTTGTGGAATCCAACAATACGAATTTTAAAAGCGTAAATTATATTTTTGCAGAAAAGATAGAATGACACATAATAAGGTATCCTTTCTTAAGCAATTTTATATTCAATTTTTTAAAAAAACAAACCTTCTTTTACTGATGATAATATATTTCGCGTGTATTGATGATTAATATCACACTTTTGGTAATAAGTAGCGTGTACGATAAAAAAATCTTTCTCTCCATAAGGCTCTCTTCTGTACTATCATATAGTAATATCAGGAAACGCTGTGAACTCTCTAGAATGTTCGCTTGTTTATTTAATTTCAGCATGTTTGTATTCTTAAAAACTTAAGTTTTCACGAGGTTATGTGCAGAGAGTCATACTAATGTCTCCTTTTTAATATCGCCTTTTTCAATTCAGGTCAAGTACATCGCCAAATGTCTGGAATCAGAGAGCTACTTTAACTCTGAGGAACGAAAACCGATGAAGCGAAAACTTCTATCTTGAAGGGTGGAAACGTAGTATGTCACATACTAATTATATCATATAAAAATTCACAAAAAAATGTTCAGCAATTTTTCTTTGTGTTCTTGTTTTGGGAAAAGCAACAACATATTTTAGAACCTTGTGATCCTTTTTTAAATTTTAGAACTGAGAGACACGAATTCACTTTTCTCTCAGCTCTCGCTAACATCTATGCTTGATTAAACTATTGTTAGTAAAGGTGTGTGTGTGTGTGTGGGGGGGAAATATTCAAGGCTTAAAAAGACTGTATGCAACTCTTCCGCAGCCCTTTTTTGGGCACAGCGCTGCGCTGCACCAAGGGCAGTGGCGAGTTGGCAACGCGGTGGCCGTGGCCCATCGCAAGTGTCGATTGACGAAAGCCGGGAGTGGAGCCTTTGCGCTCCCTCTGGCCCACGCTTTCCGCTGGGAGGGCGGGCGGTGGCCGAGGGCGAGGCCAAGGGACAAGTGCGCGGGCTGCGGCGGCGACAGGCAATCCACAGAGACCGCTTGCGCGCCTCGCCACACGACCACGCAGTCATGGCCGCCGCAGTGGAGCTCCAGCTACAGGTCAGTCACACTCGCACGCAACACCCGCCGTGTCGGATAGTACGTACTCGAAAACGCATGCAATCAAACGTTTAAGTTCTTTTGTCGCGAAGAGCTCCACTTACGAGCAAAAATATTAGGTCTTGAACTGTGTCCATCGGCTGTTAGGCGGGTATGATAGGGGTCAAGAAGGCCGGGTTCTGTTACGACTTCCGACGCCCAGGGCGACCAAGAATCAAAGCAGGTTGTCAGCAGAATATATTTTCGCACTTCTGCGAGTGATATTTCCGAGTATTATCCGTTCACCCTAGGAAAAATCCAGATGTGAACAAAAGCACTAGTGTTAGGATGATTGGTGTGCAGCGTGGAGCTCTGATGTTGTCGGGATCCTGACGCCAAAATCAATAGTTCTACGTATAAGAACTAACTGATCTGTCATTGTTCGTTAAATTAACCTTGCGTCAAAACTATAGCAATGGTTTTGAGATAGGAGACCATTCTGAACTTCATGCGTGTTACGAGCCTCGGATACAATAGCTCAGCCCACGAACGTGCTGATCGACTCAGGTCGTGCGCGTGGGACGGGGCTCGTCGGCCTGCGAGGCTCCGCTATTCAGTTCGTTTTAGAAAGTCCTTCAATAGTTACTCACATGAGGAAAGTTTCTCGGAGTAGCGAAAAGCGCAAGTTTTCAATTCGTAATTGCATAGGAATCCGCCGTTATCGATGAAGCAAATCGTAGAGTTCACTCCAGAAAGAGATCACTGACAAGGGACAACTATTACTCGCGCAACTTTTCTTGAACGATGACCTTGCTTCCCTCTCTCTAGCACAATAAACAGATGAATGCAAAAGCTCGCAGCGAGCTCTGATGACAACATTCCAAACACATCTTCACTGGCGCGAAATAGACACAATTTTCTTTTGAAGACGAAAACTTCTATGCGTAATTTTCTCCAAAAATCTAAAGAAATGACCGAAGCAGGTACGGATCTATCACAGGAGATACCTCGAACTCCTGATAAAGTTAAACCGCAAATTATTGAAAACGTTACGAAGGCATGACTGATTCTCCAGAGATCAGCATTGCTTTATAAAATCCAGTGGCTGATTACGTAACTAATACCCCCCTCTCTACCCGCATTTTTTCAATTCATCGTTCAAGAACAATGGCGCGAGTAATACAAACGCCAGAGAAGAAAAGAAGGGGAAGAAACTGTGATTGAAGCATACGATGACTTTGTATTCAGTGCTGTTCGATCGAAAGTGCATTTCTTGCATGAAAAGGACAAAAGTGCAGAAACTAAACACCAACGGTTGCGAAATTGTTGCAGCGTGTGAATTGTCATCAAATACTTCCGAATTTTAGCGCAACAAATAATTGACAACATCCCGTTATGGTCAACCCCTTCCTGAAGCAAAGTGATCGTAAGTAACGTAGTTGCATGAGCAAGAAAGCTCTTATTCAATTCGAATTGGAGGGGTATACTGTTCCAGATATCGAAATTAGTGCGCTAGGAGTTTTCCAATCAGAAGTGTAGTGCGGCGCGAAGATTTTTTCTCTTTGTTTACATCAGGTTTTTTCTTAGGGCGAACAGATAAATAATTGTCTGGGGAATGGAGTAAATAGAGCGAGATATTTATTTACACATACATTCCCATTCATAAATGTAATTTTCTTTACTACATAATACACAGAAAACTCCCTACATCCTCCAATTTAAACACAGTGGCACTTCAAGGTCACGATTTGGACGGAGAGACATTGTCATTCAATATGGAGCTTCGCTACGACTTAAATTTTAGATACTGGAGCTCCCGATTGGATGCCAATGTCCCCCTCTCCTTCCAGCTTGTGATTTTAAAGTGCCACTATGTTTATGCCAGAGCACAATTTCGTGTAGAGTCTGGTATCACTTTATTGTTGGTTTCTTGTATAATTAATAATATAATACATAATCGTAAAAGGGAGAGTTCACCTTTCAAATGCTTTTGACTTTTGGAACTATTCACTCGTTTTTTATGGACCTTTTCAATATTTCTGGTTTCGAAATCCCAAATAATGAATACCTGGCAAGAGAAGTAGAAAGCGAGTTTTCGAGGAAGAGGATTGTTACAATTTCGACAAAGGAGCCCATCGGAATTTTTAGACAACTGTTCTGAAAGTATACCTTCTAAATCATAATTTGTATATCAAATTTAAATTAATATTCTAATTATAAAATTTCAAAATTTCCTATTATTGAATTGTTTCTAACTAGATGAAAATGTGAAGAATGTAAAATTGGTACTGAAATCGAAAAGATGCGAAAATACAGCAGACCTAATTTCTAGTTGGATCAGGTTCCTCGTCAACCAATCTGAAAGCTGATTTTCGCGCTTCAAAATTCCGCAAGGCGCAGCTGTCATTGATCTGGGTTGACCCTTTGCCGCGGGAAAAGCGCACGCTTGTGACAACTTCTTCCCGATTATGATCGCCTAACGGCAGGTAATGAACGTACAAAAAACTTCGTAACTTTTATCATAACTCGCATTCTAATTGTCAAAAGCACTTAAAAATGTACCTCTGTTTTCGATTACACACAATTTGTTGATAAAGTCGCATAAAAGTCGGCGGAAAATGGTGACCTTATGTCAGGAACAACTTATTGCCAGGTCCCGGAAAAGAAAAAGTGGATAATTGTTGTTACAAACAAGGCAGGCGTGCTTTATTGGTAAAGGCTTGAGGTAGCTTCATCGTCCACCAACTCACTTCCTAGAGGCGAAGGATGAGGTTCGCAGTCCGACCCTGAGCTAGTGTATCATGCATGTGGAATTGCGCAGCCCTCGTGTCCTGTTGAACTCACATCCGTCGAACCCGCTAGCATGTGAGTGTTTAAGCTCCGTTCGCCGTAACTTTTCTCAGCATGTAAACAAAACTTTGTATACAGTAAAACCTCGTTAATCCGAACTTCTAATTCGAAATTTCAGATAATCCGAACAAAATTCGGAATTGGGGAAAATAAAATATATAAAATGCTTGTTTGTAGTGTGAAGAAAGGATTTTATAATTACTACAGAACTTAACAACTAATAATTGAAACGCAAGTTGTCGAAATGAAACGGTTATTGCACTTGTAACTACAGTGAATATAACATGCTTAAATAGCACTAATTTTCGCTTGTATTAGAGGAAAATCTGTAATCTTTTCCCGCAAGGAACTGAATCTGCTTGATGATGCGACGTGATGAAGCGATCGCTACGCTATGTTGCCATTTTCTCACATCGCAAGCTACGTTGCATTGTCTGGTAATCGTACAGATGTATTTGTATATGTATGGTACTTTTTGGGGATAATCCGAACAGACCACACTACCAATTCGGATTACCGGGGTTCTATCTTTCCGCCCTGTAGTTTATGATTGGCTGCGTCTTACGTGCCACGGTCATACTCTTTGTCAGATGCGAACAAATGTCACGGGAATGATGCTCAAATACGAGCAACTGTTATACATTTTATTTTCACTTTTACTTTTCGAATTCGCCCAAATACCAGTCACACCATGCATATACATTTGCTTAATTATAATTAAGTAAATTATAATTATCAGAGTACTTACATATCAGATGTGCCCTTGTAAAGTAGCGATGAAAGACTGCAACAGAATATGCAGAGACTTTTTTAAAATAAAAAAAAATTAAAAATGCAAGCAAGCCTGAATCATTAATCACATTCGGAATTTTATTTAATGTTGACAGTTGGATCGTACAAAAAATATGTTCATGAACGCCAATGTCATATTCAACCAATTCGTCGCACTGACCCTGCACCGATTTTCTTCTATTCTCATCTTTCCTCCTTGCCCAGTGACCGGTAATTCACTATGAATTTGTCCAACACTTCTGACTCTGACACATATCAATTCGGCAGGCTTTTTTTCACATGCCGAAGATTTTCAATATTAACCACTGACGTTTCAAAAACATGCAAAACCACTTTCTTCTCATCACTTTGAGAGATTTCCCTGCGAATATTTCAAATAACCGTACCAGGAAACTGTTTCTCTCATTGTCTTATATGCGATAACAAAAATCAGTTTTAATTAACACTATTACCAAACAAATACAACTCACTTGCAGAACCTTCTCATTCCAAAAACGGAACAGCAACTTTATAGTCAAATATCTGTTGCTGAAACTGGTCTCGTATGACACAGGAAACATTGATAGCCTCAACCCACGTGCACGGAGGTTCGGCCTGGCGAACGACCGTTATCTCAGAGAGTGCCGCTGACCGCTGTGTTGACGTTAGGGTCACGCTCCGAGTCTGATATCGGAGGGTTTTGCACGCCTTAGCGGGCAGCAATCGACTGCAAAAGTCGATCTTTTTCGCATGCGCAGATGGACAAGAATGATGCGACATTTGAACAGCGCATGTCCAGAAGATTTATAGTACTATCGAATGCTTCAACGTTCGAGGGTGCAAAAACTCCCTATTAGGATCGAAAAACAAACAAAGGCTTCTTGGGCAAATGTGGAGACATTTTTAAGAAGTAGTATGCACAATATCATAATTGTTCCTTCCGTGTAGGAGTTAGCCCGATTGATCATATGAACGACTGTGCTAGCCAGAGCCCCCTCTGAATACACGCCTCCGCTAGTAATTATATTTCTGTTCCTGGGCAAACAAAAACCTTCCTTGGACAAACGAGAACACCTTTAAGAAATAGTATACACAATATCATAGTTGTTCCTTCAGCGTAGGAGTTAGCCCGACCGATCACATGCGAATGCGTTGACTGGAGCCCCCTATGAATACATTTTGGTTTATCTGAAGCTGTTAATCTGAATAATATGAACAAAATGTTTAGTTTATCCAATGTTTGCATATGAGGCAAATTACGAGACAAGTTTATTATTATTTATTATTAGTTAAGAGACCTTAAATTACGACCGAAATTCGGTAGAGAATTTTTGGATGATGCAAGAGTTGGCTCAAAAATTTTGTTAACGTAGTTGTGTGGGTGGGCCAACGAAAATTCA